TGGTAAATAATCGATTATTAAGGTGTTCGCTGCGAACACCCTGTTTATCGATACTTTTCTATAGGTTTAAATCGCCGATCAGTCGATATATCGCAAAGCACGCCACGCCACTGAAATTAGTATTATATCCAAATTTGACTGTGTATTATCTATAAAAGGTCTAGTTAGTAGTACTCCTTATAGTTCACTGCTAATATTAACCATTCAATTGATTCTAGCTGTTTACTGGAAATTAATATGCCGCACGACAAAAAAATAGTAAAATGAAATTAAGCTATCCAACCAAAACTGGAAACATTTTACCGTACGTAACAACTTACTTTCTTGACACTTCGAGTAAAAGCCCCCAGCACAACGTGGAAGTGCGAAAAAATTGGTTTCATTGAGGTGTGAATCTTAGTAAAATTAATACTCAGTCGTAGCATAGTTGATGGCTTTATCGGGGATCATGCCGAACACTTTTAATGATTTCCTTTAAAACCTATAAAATTGCTCATGAGATTTGTGACTGATCTCAAACACAATTTCTCACTGTAACGAGTGAATGGGAAAACATAGGTCAAATATTACAGGTCATGAGTAATCATAGGTCATGAGTAAGTTTCTCCAGTGAACAAACTTAGATTTTATGTCATCCAAAAAGAGGAAATACGGAAGAATGCATGGCGATCCATACAGTCCGTAGTATTTCGAAAAATGGAATTTCGTAGAAGTGTAATTATTTTTCTAGCCGAGCGTTGAAGTCTTTTAATGGTGACGGTAAGTGCTCAGAGCGTTGATGAATGAAACTATCCCCATCACTCCTTCATCTATTAAAACTCATCGATATTTTTACTATTTGCCTATATTCTTTAATGAACAAATTCAGATTTCATGTCATCCAAATTTAAAAGAGATTATGGAAGAATTTATGACGATCTATACAGTCTGCAGTATTTCGAAAAATGGAATTTTGTGGAAGTGTAATTATTTTTCTAGTCGCGCGTTGAAGTCTCTTTTTTAATAGTGACGATAAGTGTTCAGTGAGTTAATAATTGGACGTATTTATGGTAAAAGGAACTAAGGTGCACGCAAACCCTATGCACGTAGTTCCTTTTACCATAAATACGTCCAAATGAAACTCTACCCAGCACACCTTCGTCTATTTCCACTCATCGATATTTTTACTATTTTTCTATATCGCGTTGAAGTCTCCAAATTATCAGCGAGTAAGCAGTAGTGTGCCGCCGGGTTAGTCAATGCATATCGATCAAGATTAAATGATCAACATATACAGAATTTATAACACAGATTTCAAATCACATAATATCTGATATTTGGGCAAAGCTAAGGAAATTGTGGGGGAAGACAGGTCCCCCTGTACAAAAGTACAATATCGATGAGTAATAACTTTTGGCGCCATAGAAACAAATCAGCCATTGGTTTCCAAACAAATTATCGTGTTAACGCACCCCAAAGGTTTACTGAATTAGGAAATATCTCAAGCCACACGGCAGCAGTCTTCTAAAGTGATCAAAAGCCGGAGAAAAGCGTCTCTAATTTATAGATAGCTCTTCCCCATGTTAATCTATCGGGATCTTTTGAGTGCAGCGAAGGGAACAGGAAATCTGGTGTAAATGAGCACATCGAAAAACACCCAGTTACGACAAATAAATATGTATAACCTGCCACTAGATCGTGATAACATGGAACACGGCACCTCAAGAGAGGGGCTTACTTGCCGGCCACGGGCGGTTGGTGACGACGGTTCCATGTTAAAACAATATAAAGAGGGGAACCCTCCAACGGACTGACAACGCAGGGGAATCCGAAAAGGCGTAGGCGCCCATTTCACCGGCTCCGAACACGAAGATGAAAACGAAATACAAGCGATAAATCATCTAACGATAGCTGAAGTCGATTTAAGTCCATTGAAGTGGAGTTAAAAGCAGGATTATTACAGCGCAGATTGGCAGAAAGCTGTGGGTTAGGCTAGACACCGCTCACACAGCAAAAGCGCATTTTCTTCTCACATTGTCTTTTTAGGGTAAGCTGATAGAGGAAGCGCCTAAGATCGAAAAGGAGATTGGGTTAACTTTTCTTCACCCTCCCCCGTAATCAAAATATTTTTAAAAATTTAATTTATGGATAGATTTGCACTGACTTTATTTGAAAGAAACAAATTGAATATGATAAAAAAATTGATAATCCCTGATTTACCGCCATCACTCATTTTGGAACTCGCGCTTTAAAAAGTTTCCACGTAAGTACTAGGTATCCCATTGTTATTGCTTCTCAGCATAGTTAGCCTCGGGTGTAAGAAATCCCGTTTTTGATAGATGAAGCTCAGATTAAATCGTTAAAACACGATTCTGCTAGGTACAAAACTGGCGCAAAACACGTGATTTTCAACGCAGTTTTGCAATGAAAACGCGATTTTGCCAACATTCCCATTTCAACACACCGTTATCGGAGCTTTCCCATTTTAACATGCGGCCGATCACGACCCGTCCGGTCGCGTGATCGAGACATTTTTGCACCCCTAAATATCCGTGCCCGTCCTCAAAAGCAATCCTTGTTAAAAATGTTCCATAGGGACACATGGTAATTTGGCTCACAAAAAAACTGGGGTCCCCATGGGCACCCCAGTCTTCTCCATCAACACCCCTTCTTCCCCATGGGCATCCTAGTCTTCCCCATGGGTACCCTAGTCTTCTTCATGGGAACCCTAGTCTTAAGTCCTGGTTGGGCGATCAAATTCCGAACCAATTCCGATCAAAGTAGACATGCTGATGACTGATGGTCACCATCTACCATCAAATTTTGACGGGCCGCACAATTTTGTTCAAAGTAAGATCAGAATGGAGTGCCACCATTTATCATTTCCTGCCTCAGGAAACATTTCTGCCAAAATTTCATTTTAAAATTAAGCAAATTAATGAGTTTAAGACTGATGACCCCCGACGCTTTGATGCTACTTTGATCGGAATTGGTTCGGGAATTTGATCGTCTATCCAGGGCTTTCCGCATGTACACCCTAGTATTCTCCAATGGGCATTCCAGTCCTCCCCACGGGTACCCATGAGCTCCCATAGGCCCCCATGTAATTCCAATGAATCCTCATGAAATTTTCACGAGAACCCATGTTACATTTTTAACGGGATAAGTATTTTACAGGGGTAAATAAGGCAACATCGGGATGCCCATACGGCGTTTTTCCTTAGGACAGGAGTACAGGTTTGTGAATCACCTGACGGGCGAGCGGGCATGGGAGGCATTTGTATGCGGGGCGGATTGCGCGCGTGCACGGCTCGTCTGGAGCCGGAGCCGGAACGTCGGGCGTGGGTCGGGCCAGATTTGAGAGCGGATTTATCGGGGTAATCGATTCATTTTCACTGGGCCCGATCCGCGATGCGCGAGCCCGATCGACTTCTATCTCTTGACACTTTGTCAGTTCACGTGCTCCTGCCTACCCGAGTGTCATTCCGGCCGCGACTACCCGAGTCCCATTCGCAGCCGCGCTCGTCGGCTCTGTCGATGATTGCTTCTTCAGTTATTTTTGACTCACAATCAGTGGTGAGGCGTGGATGATCGACTATCGACGTATCCCCATTTGAAGCTATGGTGAAGAACCGATTATTGAGGTGTTCTTTTATCGATTATTCGATTTTATCGATTTTATCCTTTTTATCGATCCTTTTCCACAGGTTTAAATTACACGGAGAAAAAGTAGTATTCTCTGAAGTATTCGGATTGAGCATCTGAACACTTTAGGTCCAGCTGCTGAGGTTTGGATCACACATCTGAAACTTCAGTTCTTACAAATGAAGTACTTCGGTTTTCACATCCGAAAAACTTCGGTTCTCACATCTGAAGTACTTGAGATGTAAGAACTGAAGTTTCAGATGTGTGATCAGAATGTCGACAGCTAGACCTAAATTGTTCAGATGCTCAATCCGAAAACTTTAGAGATCCATATGACCTAAACTTCGGGTTCCGCACGCACGAGGTTTTTTTCTCCGTGTAGAGCACCTTAATAGGGAGAGTTCGGCCAGTTCGGTGTCCACCTCTGATTGTCTCATTTAACTTAGGCTGAATGGAGCCCTCTAGGACCCAACATTGGCGGAGGCTGTAAGTAAATTTAAATACAAAATGACACAAATGTAGTTTAATTTCCATATCGCAACGAGAAATTTACTCAAATGCACTATTGCGACTGGAAGGTAAGTTAACAGTTGATTGAATGTAGTGGTCCCGAAAGTAATAGCTTCCACCATTGCCAATATACCAATGGAGGGTCTCTCCTCTCTGGCTATTGTTGACCATCAAGGTTCAGTTACACGATCAAATTGAGCCATCAAACTGAAGCTCTGATTGGTGGAAAAAGACCTGAGGTGAGGATGCGACCAATGAAAGGCCCAATTTGATGGCACAATTTGATCGTGTGACTGGACCTTCAGGAAATTTTGAATCCCTAAAGCGGCAGATACACCTGCGAGTTACAAGCGCTTCTTGAAAGTGAGAGACCAATAGGAAACCAGATTTTCGATTAATCATCATCGAGCTATCGAAATCCTCCTCGCTTATTGGTGTTTCAGATGCACCTGCAAGTTACAAGGGCTTGTTGAAAGTGAAACACCGATAGGAAACCAGAATTTCGACTGAACGTCGTCGAGCTATGGAAATCCTCCTCGCCTATTGGTGTTTCACTTTCAACAAGTTGTAACTGTAACTTGTAACTGGCATGTGTATCTGGGCTTGCAAGGCCCTTTAAGATCAAACGTTATGACAACTGCCGGGATGCAAACTGAGGATCTCTATTTGTGTCCGTGGCTACCGACTGGACAATACACTCATGTTTATTACGACCCGTGGGCACTCAACCGTGCAGAAGACAGAAACTTGGCATTTGGACACCGATTCCTCCGGAGATCCGGAGGGAGATAACTGAGGTGTCAATTTCGTCGCGGTAGCGTCGTGTGGCTGGGCATGCGGTAAAGAGTGGGTGTAGAGTGGCTTACCGACGACGACGACGTGGCCGAAAGCGCTCTGGCCGCCGATAGCTGTGCAATTCCATCGATGACCCCTGAACTGGTACTGGCACTCCTGGGTGCCGAGTCGGATCCCGTCGCCGACGGCCACCATGGCGTCCGGCGCTTCCCGACACATTTCTCGCTGCCGATCCGTGAGTCCTGGCACTCTGCTGCAGATCGCCCCAGCACCAAGCGCCGAGCCGCCCGAGGATAGCCTCAACACACAACCAACATACAATATCAATACAAACGCACGTCCAAATCAATGGAAACAACTGACAAGTGAACAGTAAGAAAAAGACATGGAGAACAATACTCCCGGGCTGAGGAAGAACGACGTATGAGCCTTCCGACGGTTGCTGCTTAAGGTGATTTGATGGACGCCATATTTTGAGTCAGAACGGCATGCGATGTATCACATCAATTGGTTCCATTTTTTCAGCTACTCGTCATTTTTCTTCAATTTTGAGATCGCAATTCTGTTGTAAGGAGACTAAAGCACTCACTTACCAATTTTAGCAAAGAAATTCAACGTAATAAAGGCGTGGTTTTTTTAAGAGAGAAAATATCGCATTCGATACTGATATCGAGACTGCACTCGAATGCGATATTTTCTCTCTAAAAAAACCACGCCTATATTACGTTGAATTTCTTTGTTAAAATTGGTAAGTAAGTGCTTTAGTCTCCTGATAACAGAATTGCGATCTCAAAATTGGAGAAAGATAACGAGTAGCTGAAAAAATGTAACCGATTGATGCGATATATCGCATGCTGTTCTGACACAAAATACGGCGTCCATCGAATCACCTTATAAGGTGATTCGATGAAAGCTATATTTTGTGTCATCAGAGCGACATGCGATAATCGCATCGATTGTCTCCATTTTTCAGCCCCTCGTCATTTTTCTCGGATTTTGAGATCGCAATTCTGTTGTCAGGATATTAAAGAATTCACTTACCAATTTTGTCAAACGAATTCAACGTAATAAAGGCGTGGTTTTTTTAGAGGAAAAATATTGCATTCGAGTGCAGTTTCGTTATTAGTATCGAATGCGATATTTTCCCTCAACGCCTTCATTCCTATGAATTCTTATTGTCAAAATTGTTAAGTTAATTCTTTAGTCTCCTGACAACAGAATTGCGATCTCAAAATTCGAGAAAAATGACGAGTAGCTTAGAAAATGGAACTAATCGATGCAATATATCGCAGGTCGTTCTGACACAGAATAGCGTCCATCGAATTACCAGCAACATTTATGAATACTCATAGTGTTTTTCTTATCATGATTCAAGCTGGATTTTTCTAGAAAAATAAGAAAAACGCTTGGGTTAAGAGAAAAAGTAGCTTAAATTAATTTACGCTACTGTTTCTCTTAACCCAAACATTTTTCCTCTCGGTTCTCGAAGAATCCAGCCTGGATCAAATTAAAAAATCTTGACGGCAAATTCAAGAATTATCAGACTTAAGCTAAACACCTCTTTTTTTCAATGCTTAAACACAAGCGCTGAGGAACGATCGCAACGCGTTTCGCCTTCATTTTTCAAAGCAGGCAAAACGTCTCCCTCGTGGTTGAACGCTGAGCTGGTATCGCTCATCGTGCAAAGTTGCATTGAATGTGCGTTTAGCTATGGGCACATTTTATATGCATACACATGTGCAGCGTTTACTGAAGCGCGATTCGCCTTCGCTTTGTGACGTAGGCAAAATGGCCTCCCGCGTGGTCGAACAGTGGTATCGCTCATAGTGCAAACATGCTTTGTTCGTGTTACTTGATGTTTTATTATACATTTTGAAACATTTCTGTTTGATACTTGGCCAACAGTAATTTTCGTTGCTAATTTTTCAATTTACTCGAATTTTAACGACTTTCTCTAATTGTCTCGAGGTCATACGGCTCTTTATCGTATGCCTAATCTTTTTATCAAATATCTGGGCACTTAATCAAATGCCTCGACAAAATGTTGAAAATGAAAGATTATTTGACTCTTTGACTATTAATAAGGGGAAAACAAACGCTTTAAGACGATTGAACTCTTATGTATGAAAGATTAATAACAATTTGCGAGATCGTTTGTTTATGTAGGTTACATGTCCTGGCATTTATCTCTGGGTAGACCTGATTGTAGGCGAAAACATTTGGTGACATAAATACATTTTTTATGATAAAGTAGTTAGGAAAATAGTTATAAATAATAGGGAATACTTGAGACTAAGAATGTATGTGGTTTGTGTAAGTACGCCATTTACATTCAGGGTTCAAATTAAATATCTACAGTCGATAAACTGTCTAATTAAAATGATGCAAAAGAAAGGCACTAAATTACTGAAGGAAGGTAATTAATATTTAATCTTTCAACTGCCAGAAACTTCTGAAAATACGAGTAGAAAGTGTGAATGATACCTCCCGTTAACATGGCCGGATTTACCTACTTGCCGCCCATGGGCCGCCTATATTTTGCCGCCCTCTTCTCATTCATTTTGAAATATCAATAAAACCATCAAGTGAACGTGCCGGAGGGAGAAGGGTGCATAAGACGCGTTCACTCGTGTTGGACATATTTTTTGCGTAAGCCCTGCCAACACTACTAGCAAAAGTTCACGGAGCTTCGCGCAAAAGTTCAGTTCCGTAAACCTATCTCTGTGGGGACAAGGCCTTTCATTTGTAAGAAATGAACTAAAAAATTAAGAAAGAACAGACATGAATGTAGTTTAATAATTATAACTTCCGCCGCCGCGCCGTGCTGCCCTGCCAGACCACACTGTGTTTGGCGCAATGCGTGAAGTATTCATGTAGACTTGTAGGCACTGTGCGTTTCACGCCGCGCCGACCGCTGTTGACCGCACTGTGTTTGACGCAATGCGTGAAGTATTCATGCAGTCTCGTAGGCGCTATTATGTGTTACATGCCGACCACCGCGGTGAGGGCTTCTCCTTTTCATCTCAAGTCCTCGTCATCATTTCTCTTTGCGCCGCGCCGCGCCGCTCCAGGCCAAATTACGTGTTTGTTTTCTCTCTTAACTCAACTAATTAAAGATGCGCAGTCTTTTGTAACACCGAAATAAGACAAAATTAGAAATTAATGAACTCTAAGGAAATGAGAGATTTTGTCACCTTTTCTTGTTAGTAATTTTTTTCTGAATCCGATTTTTTTGTACCTGCATTTAAAACAATTGCAAAATTTGCCGCTCCCTAATTTTGCCGCCATGGGCCGCGGCCCATGTGTACGTGGAAAACTGTCTGAAATGTTTTTAAAAAAATATTCACAATTCTCCTAATGAAGTCGGTTTTTATCGAAGGCAACTTGGCAACGTCCGAAGGCTCATAAGGCCTTCTTCCTCAGCACGGCAGTATGAGCATCAAAACTTCTCAGGTAAAATACTCGTGGTTTTTTTTGCATGATTCTTGCTCTTTCTCATCTTTCATTCAGGAGTGCTCATCGAAATTTCACAGCACCGTGAATTGGTGCCGCCGGACATGGCAACGCAATTAGTGGTACTCGATTTTTACGACTCAGTCCAATCGATATTCTAGGCGTGGACTCCGGGCTTCGTAGGCGCCTCGCCTGCCGCATCGACATAATCGTTATAAAAAGGTGATGGAGAGAACTATGCAAACGTTTAACGATACCATGCCGTGCAGAGGGTCGTTTACAACGAGTGCCAACTATTTTAAAAATGGTACCCCTTGTTGTCCTTTGAGCTATTTCATTGAGACCGGAAACTATATTTTGGCAATTAAAAAATGGACCCAGTTTAAAGCGCTGCCTCCACTCGTCAAAATTGCGTCAAAATGGAAGCTCAAAGTGAATCGATTTCAACGATAAGTGGCTCAAAGTCAGGACTGCGATTGATGAGTGTTGCAACTCAAAATAGAGCGGCGTGACTCTTTTTTGATCAACTTTCGCGAACGGATTGTATTTATCGATTCACTTTGAGCTTTCATTTTGACGCCGCATTTTGACGAGTGGACTCAGGGCTTAACAGAAATGCACAACAGTGGCGTGGCGTGCTTTGCAATGTATCGATTGATCTACCATTTGAGCCAATGGAAAAGGATCGGCAAATAGGGTATTTGCAGCGAACACCTTAATAATCGAGTCTTTACCAAAGCATCAAATGGGGGCATATCGATAATCGATCATTCACGCCTCGCCACTGCAGAAATGCACCAGTCGCATTTTGGAAAATAAAGAGTTGGGGGCAGTTTTGAATGCAACTAGTCAGGGCCGGATTAAGGGGGTGGCCACATGGGCCGCGGCCCATGGCGGCAAAATGTAAAGGGCGGCGAATTTTGCAATCTTTTTGAATGTAGGTATCAAAAAATGAGAGCAAAAAATCGGATTCAGAAAATAAATTACAAACGAGAAAAGGCGACAAAATCTCTCATAACCTGAGAGTGAAAGTATAGTAATTTCTTATTGTGTCATCTTTCGGTGATACAAGAGACAACACCTTTAATTAGTCGAGTTAAGAGAGAAACCAAATACGCAATTTGACTTGGAACGGAGCGGTGCGGCGGTGGTCGGCATGAAACGCATAGCACCTACAAGACTGCATGAATACTTCATGCATTGCACCAACACAGTGCGGTCGGCGCAGCGGCGGAAGTTAAAATTATTTAACCAAATTTATGTTTGTTCTGTCATAATTTTTTCGTTCGTTTTTTTATAAATGGAAGGCCTTGTCCAAACAGGAATGGGTTTACGGAACTGAAATTTTGTTAGTGTTGACAGTGCTTTCACAAAAAATGTGCCCAACACGAGTAAACGCGTCTCATTCACCCCTCCCCCACCGGCACTTGATGGTTTTCATAGACCGTATTCGACAGATCACACAGGTGAGATTATATTGGAATGGGTCTTATGTGGCCAAATTTTCATTCTCTCGAGTACCAAATGGCACGCCCCCCGGTTAGAAGTGTCTAGATCCACCTATGTTTACTGGCCCATTCTGTTAAATAAAAAAATATGAGAAAAATTAGGTTACGTCTGACTGCTGCTGAGCGTTCATTGCACCGAAAAAAAAGTGAAGTTGATTTTGTATTCTGGAAGTAAAAAAAGTGTGAGGGAACTTATAAAATGCTGAATTACCCGCCACAGCAGTTAGCTTTACATATTGGCATTGCTAAAGTAACTGCTGTAGCGAGTACCTAATTCAGCATTTTATAAGTTCTCGCATACTTTGCTTACACCCAGAATGTAATATGAATCGGTGAG